TCATTTGCAGTTGGGCTTTCTGATATGGAATTTTCCCAGCCCTGACCAATGGCCAGTAATTTGTGAAAATACAGTGAGAATTTAAAAAAAAAATCTGTTGCTCAATGTTGAGGAAAATAGTCTGATTTACCTTTAAGGGATAAATGAGATTCTGACTAGTAAATGATGGCCACCCTATTTCCATGTATTAACATTTTATTGTTAGCTAATTTCACCTCAGTTACACGCAATGTGCAATTCTTCCATACAGTGGTGAAAAACTAGATGGTGCCAATTCCTGACTTGAAAATCAGAAGATACCTGGCAGATGCAGCTCGCCAGTCCATTCTCTGAGCCTGCATGTTCACCATCATCTCAGGCTGCTCCATGGGCAGCAGCTGTGACTATCCTTTATCCCCAGAAAGCAGCACTGCCAAAACACCAGCCTCATCACATTATCATGGCCAATTGCAGACTAACTCAGAAAACACTCTAGCATTCTGGAGTTCGCTGACACCTGATATTATAATGCCTTTGCTAGGTCATTCTGCACAAGAGGACACGCAACTATCTCGTACTCAGGTTTTGCTTACTTGGACATTCACAGTCTCTATCTTGATTTACTTGTAAGTTCATTGCTGCTTTATTATGAATTTAAAGCCTCACAGCTCCTCTGGCTTGACTGCTTCATAACATAGACAGAAAGGCAAGCAGTTTGTCATGGGTGCCAGCACTGAATAGACAAGGGCGTAGACAGCACAGTGCCACATCAATTCAGCATGAGTCAGCAACTTAAGTGGGAAATACACTGTATATGCTTCAGACAAGAGGCCATGACTGAAAATTTAAGGGGAGGTCCTTAGTTGAGTGAAAGGGAGACTATGGTCAGGCGGTGCAGACATACTCTCAAATATATCATTTGATCTCAGTCCGGGGCTTGGCTGTGTTCGTCAGGAGGCACTTGGTGTGAGTGGAGTTCGGGAATGTATCCTTCCAGTCCATGGATTTGGCCATTGTCAGTTCTGTAAGTGAAGCCCAACCACTCTAGGCTTATAGGTAAGTCGGTTGAAGAGCTCAAGAGACCAGTTGGGGCTAACATTAAGTAAATCCAGGAGGTGGGCCACAGTCAGCGCTGGGGGTTGACAGTAAATATCAACAGTGGGTTATCAATGGGGCAGTCCATGCTATGATAGGAAAAGTAAAAAACTCTACTCTGAGGATTGGAACTATTATGACGGAACATGGAGGGATTATGTCTGTGAATTGGGCACCTAATATCTTTCAAGGAAGGACACTTGCTGTTGTTACCTGGTCTGGCCTACTTGTGACTCTAGACCCATAGACTCTTAACTGCTTTCTGACACGGTCTAGCAAGTCACTCAATTGTATCAAAACCACTAAAAATTGTCAAAAGAATGAAAATGGATGGATCACTATGCATTGACCCCAGACCTAGAAACTACAACACCAAACTAAAGGCCAAAGATGCTTGACTGGCACAGACTTAATGGACCAAAGGGCCTTTTTATCTGTGCTGTACACCTCTTTGACTCTATGACTGGTTCTGCTACAGAGAGGGAAAAAACATACATGACATCATCTTCACCAATCTGCCCACCAGATGATTCTATCCATGAGACCATTGATAGAAAGCTCTTTAGAGATCAAGTCCCATCAGTGTGTTAAATGGTATAGATTTTGAATAGATCCAGCAACTCCAGACTGGGTATTAATGAGGTGTTGTGGACCATTAGCAACATTGTACTCAAAACACAGGATGCAATCTCATAGTCTGGTATATCCCTACTCTACTAATACCATCAAGCCAGGGGATCAATCCTGGTACAATGAACTGTGTAGAAAGGCATGTCAAGAATGAGGTGTCAACATGCTGAATTGCAACCAAGGACTACTTGCATGCCAAGCAGCATAAGCAGCATGTGATGGACAGACTGAGTGATTTCAAAACCAACAGATCAGATCTAAGTTCTGCAGACCTCCCACATTTGATTGTGAATGATGGTGGACAATTAAGCAACTCCCTGGGATAGGAGGGTCCACAAGTGTCCCCATCCTCAATATCGTAGAATCCAGCATATCAGTGCAACAGATAAGCTCAAAACATTTGTAACAATTTTCAACCAGACTTCTGAGAGGATGATTATCTCTGGAGGTCCTCAGCATCACAATTTGGTCTCTGTGTTATTAAGAAACTGCTGAAGGCACATCACACTGCAAAGGCTATGGGACCTGACAATATTCCAGCAAATGTACTGAAGACTTGATCTCTTGCCGTGCCTCTAGCCAAACCGTTCCAACACAGCAACAATGCTGGCATCTACTTGAAAATAGGGAAAATTGCTGAGATGTGTCCTGTACACAAAAAGCAGGACAAATTCAATCTGAATAATTATTGCCCCATAGGTGTACTTTCGATTATCAGTAAAATCGCAGAAGGGATAATCAACAGTGCTATCAAGCAGTACTTGCTTAGCAGTTACTTGCTCACTGCCAAGATCATTCAGCTTCTGACCTCATAACATCCTTAGTTCAAACATGGATTAAATAACTGAACTCCTGAAGTGAGGTAAGACAGACTGCCCTTGACATAAATGCCACATTTCACTAAGTATAAAATGGGACTTCATGGGAATTGCGGGCAGAGTGGGGTTTGGAGTACTCTCTGCTGATTGCAGTCATACCTATCACAAAGGAAGATGATTGTGCTTGTTAGAGGTCAGCCATCTCAACTCCAGGACATCACTGGAGGTGTTCTTGAAGACAGCGTCTGAGACCCAATATTTTCATCTACTTCATCAATGACCATTAAAAAGTCAGAGGGGGATATTTGTTGGTGGCTGCACATTGTTCAGCACTACTCACAACGACTCAGGAACAGAAATATTCTAAATGCAGCAAGGCCTGGAAAATATCTAGCCTTGAGTTGAAAGGGCCAAGTAACTTGCACACCACATAAGTGCAGGCAATGACCAACTCCAATAAAAAAAATCTAACCATTGCACCTTGACATTCAATGGCATTACCTCCATTGAATCCATCACTATTGACATCCAAGGGTTACCACTGAGCAGAAACTGAATGTGACTAGCCATATAAATATTGTGGCTACAACAGCAAGTCAGAGGCTAGGAATCCTGCAGCGAGCAATTCACCTCCTGATTCCCCAAAGCCTGTCCACGAGTTACAAAGCACAAATCAGAGTGTGATGGCATACTCTTCATTTGCTCGGATGAGTGCAGCTCCAAAAATGTCAAAAAGCTTGACATCATCCAGGACAAAGCAGCTCACTTAATTGGCACTAAATCCATAAACATTATCTCCCTCCATCACCAAAAGTGTCTACCATCTGTTGGATGAACTGCAGAAATTCACCAAGGCTCCTTAGACAGCATCTTCCAAAACAACAACCACCACCAGAAGGTCAAAGACAGCCAAATACATGGGAGTGTGCATGTTACTCTCCAAGGCATACTGTCTTGGAAATATATTGCCTTTTTCTCACTGTTACTGGGTCAAAATCGTGGAACTCTCCCCATGAGCATTGTTGGCATATATACATTAAATGGACTTACATCAGTTCAAGAAGGCAGCTGGCCACCACCTTTTACAAGGCAATTAACAATGGCCTTATCAGCAACACCCACATCCTATGAATGAATAAAAGAAACTTCCAAATATAAGGATGGGATCTGATAAACATGGGAGGAGATGGTGTATTCTGGGAGAAGGGAATTTGCAAGTTACCACCAATTTGGCTTCAAAGGGAGGGCGGGGAGAGCAGTGAATAGTGATAGTGGGCAAGGCTGAGCAGTAGGCATGGGACTGAGGTACAAAAGGGGATCATTATAGTTAAATAAAAGGTTTGGTAATTGGGGAACCTCAAAACTGATGGAATTGACAGGGATAGTTACATGAAAGAGTATATGAAGGGCAATATTGAATCTTGACTTTTAGGAATCCGTAACTCACACAGAATTTGAGAGTGCGTCAATGTTTATTCTTAGGCCGACTTTTTAACGTTTATTTTTTATCAATATGAAGTGAAAACAGGCAGGTTCACCTCAGTTCCTGCAGCAACTATGAAACCACAGCAAAAATTGACACCTAGCAGTCATTTCACCAAGTAAGGCATCAAGAATGGTAGGTTGGGAAAATTGATTTGTTGCACTGATGAAGGGCTGAGGAATTTGCTACTGCGGTTAAGATAGAAAAGAGGGAACTTCACCTTTTAGCTAGGCATGCTGTATCTGTAGCAGTGCTTGATGTTGAAAGAAAGTTTGCCATTCACCAGAGTTAACATCCCACAGTTTAGGAAAGATAATTAAAAAATAATAAAATTAAGGTTCTTCAATGTGCTTTCTGTTGACTAATTCAAGACAGTTCTGTTGTCTTAAGATAACCAACAAAAGGGTACATAGATCTCCTTTATAAGGTTATTTCAGAGGAACCATTCAAAAAGTGTCTTTTAACAAGGGGATACCAATAAAGACATTAATGAAGATATCAGAAATGGTTTTATATTTCAGACTGTGTAATGTCAGAACATATTTTGATTGTCTTTGTAATGTTGAGAATTTATATGGTCTTTTATCTATAAAAGCATCATAAGTGCTATTTCAAATTATTATTGAGCCTTAGTAAAGGAGACCTCTGTACTCATATAGTAAAGGAAACTGAAGAGTTTTAACAGAAATCACATTACTGTTTCACTTGCCCTTCTGTGTTTCCTCTTCTGGAAAAAAATCACGACTAATCAAATCATCAGCTGCTTCGGCATGCAATTCTTCATCAAAATCCTTCTCACTGTTGAAATCTTTTGCCATCTCTACCCTAGGCTCCAAATCTCTGGGTTCTGTCCTGAACAAATAACTCAAATCACCCTCACTCCATTCAATGCTGTCCTCGTCATGCATTTGGACGACAACAGGCTTCCATCGGAACACTGCAGACTTTTTACCATTCACCATCACATCAGGTTTGTCCTCAGAATCTGCCTGCTTGCAGTCCTTAACTGGTTCTTTCATCCTTTTTTCTTGTTCTGGTACTATGCTGACCACCATTTCTGTTCCTATTTCATTACTTTTTGCACTTTCTGCAGCTAGGATAAGATTCATGCTTGTTAGTACAAAGAATGACACTACATAATACAGGCTAGTACCGGTAATGGAAAAATCAGATATAATCAGACCCAAGTAATGTTCTGGGGACATGGGTTCGAATCCCGCCACAGGAAACAGTGGAATCTGAATTCAACAAAAAAATCTGGAACTAAGAGTCTAATGATGACCATGAATTACTGACGATTGTTGCAAAAACCCATCTGGTTCACTAATGTCCTTTTGGGGAAGGAAACTGCCTTCATTACCTCGTCTGGCCTACACGTGACTTGAGATGCACAGCAATGTGGTTGACTCTCAACTGTCCTCTGGGCAATTAGGGATGGGCAACAAATGCTGTGCCAGCCAGTGGTGCCTTCATCTCTAATTGCCTCGAGGCAATGAATAAAAAAAATAGGAGCAAATTACTGCAGATGCTGGAATCTGTACTGAAAACAACAAATGCTGGAGAACCCAATGGGTCAGACAGTATCCATGGAGAAACAGCAAGCTAATGTTTCGAGTTTAGATGACTCTTCATCAAAGCTGATGAAGACTGGCTGATCTGCTGTGATCTCCAGCATTAGTTGTTTTCAGTACAAACAAAAACAGGAATTGAATAGGCCAAAAGTAGATCTGTATCAGCTACTGAGGAATCATATATGGCAGGCTATAGCTGTGATCCAGAACTAGTGTTCCACTGTTTCCTAGTTTTCCACAATTTTTGATGGTCATCGAATTACACTTGTGAAATGTAAAGGAATTATATATATCACTAAAGTAACACATTTTGACACATTTTGTTATGTAACTAATGTACAAACAACACTATTATTTAACTTAATACATGCAATATTTATTTTCTCCTTTTGAAAATGCTAATCCATGCCTGTTTATAATTTCAGTTGATTGATTTCTGCTGGGATTACATTCTTCAACTTGACTGTGACAGTGACAAAGTAGTAGTTTGATTATTTTAATTATTCCACCAGCGACGGCCTTGCCTTCAGCAGCCATGTCACCAGTCTCTGCAATTAATCCTTCCCCAAACTTTTATACCTTGCTATCTCTTTTTCAAATGCACCTCAAAATGTTCCTCATTTGCCCTAACATCATAAATTCAGATAGCAGGAACTGCCGATGCTGGAGAATCTGAGATAACAAGGTGTAGTGCTGGATGAACACAGCAGGCCAAGCAGCATCAGAGGAGCAGGAAAGCTGAC